TATCTATCTATCTATCTATCTATCTATCTATCTATCTATCTATCTATAAGGAACTGGCTCACACAGGTGTGGAGCGGGCAAGTCTATAATTTGTAAGGAAGACTGGGAGCGCCTGGGGGGCTCAGTTGGTTAAGCGTCTGCCTTCGGCTCAGGTCATGATCTCGAGGTCCTGGGATCGAGCCCCACGTCAGACTTCCTGCTCATCGGGGAGTGCTTCTCTCTCTCCCTCTGCCCCCTGCTCATGCTTTCTCTCTCTCTCTCTGTCTTGCTCTCTCTCTCTCTCTCTCAAGTAAATAAATAAAATCTTTAAAAAAAAATTTATAAGGAAGGCTGACAGACTGGACACCCAGAGAAGAGCTGATGTTGCAGTCTTGTGCCCAAAGGCAGTCTGGAGGAAGAATTCCTTCTTTCTGGGGGCACATCAGCCTTTTCCTCTGAAGACCTTCAACAATTGGCTAAGGCCCATCCACTTACCGAGGCTAATCTGTTCTCTCTACTGATTTAAATGTTAATCATATCTAGAAACTACCTTCGCAGCAACGTCTGCATTGGTGTTTGACCTAACAAATGGGTACCATGGGTTAGCCAAGTTGGCTCAGAATTGATCATCACAGAGTTCATTGAAAGGACCTGGGGTTCACTGAGCTTTTGTTAATTTTTGAGAACCACGACAAGGCTCAGGCCCTGGGTCCCCAGGGAACACAGAGCGCTTCTTCAGTTCCCTTCAGAAGGGAAACCTGCCCAACCGTCAGTGTTTTGTTTTGTCTTTTTCAAGAAACCTACTGACAGCACCAAACAGGCTTGGGTGGTGAGTCTCGGTCTCTGGGCTCTAAGCCACAGTCCCTGGCTTCCAGATTCCAGAGGAGCCTTTGTTTATACCGATTCAGGAAGAGTGTGTTGTAGGCTTGTCTTATCCCACATTCTTCCTTTTCACAAGCATGAACTCAGTCCTTCCTCTCTGAATTCCTCTGGTACTTTGTACCTCAGTCAGGGTACTTGGAACTGAGGATCTTGTGTTGTAGTTGATGTACATTCTCTTGCCCCTCCCAGCCCCGCTGACCAGATCTATGCAAGTTCTTGAAGGCAGGGGTTGGGCTCACACTTCTGAATGACTGCCCCCTGCCAGGACACTGCTGCTTTGTAAACATGGCTTCCTGGGGAAGACTTCAAAACGCTGATCCTCTGTCTCACCGGGCCAAGTTCAAGGTGTTGGCAGGGCTGCATGCCTTTCTGCAGGCTCTGGGGGAGAATCGTTCCCTTGCCTTTTCCTGATTATACCTGGTGCTCTCCTTCCGTGGCTCATGGCCCGCTTTCTCCCTCTTCAAGGCCAGCAAGGGCGGGAGGGCCTGTTGTCCATGACATCACTCTGTCCTCTCGTGCCTCTCTCTTCCACTTTTAAGGACCCTTGTGATTGGGCTCACTCAGGTAGTCGGGAGTCATCTCCATCTCAAAGCACTTAACTTAATCACACCTGCAAAGTCTCCCTTGCCACGTAACACAGTCGCAGGATCTGGGGATTAGAATGTGAACATCTTTGGAGAGTCATTATTCTGCCTACTGTAGTAGCCTTATGATTTCCACTTAAAATAAGTAATTAGTGTAAGATATGATTTTAAATGGAAAGGTATAATAATTTTACTCATAACAGTGCTAGAGTTTTTGAGATATATTTATGCTTAATTTATTAAACTTGTAAGTTATTAATTTACCTGGGAATGTTTTGTTTATTAGGGTTGATGCTTACCTGAGCAGGTATTTGAAGTGCTTATTAAAAAAAAAAAAGCAGATGTGTTAGATTTATAATTGTAGCTTTAACATGTTTAAAGGAATTTTCTTTTTTTAAAGATTTATTTATTTGAGAGAGAGAGAAGAGAGTGAGCATGGGGAGGGGCAGAGGGAGAGAGAAACTTTTGCAGACTCCTAGCTGAGCTCAGAGCCCCATGCCAGGACTCGATCTCACAACCCCAAGATCATGCATGACCTGAGTCAAAACCAAGAGTCGAACACTTAACCGATTGCACCACCCAGGGGTTCCAAGGAATTTTCATTAAGTGTACAAAAGGGATTTTTTTTTAAAAGATTTTATTTATTTATTTGACAGAGAGAGAGACACACAGCGAGAGAGGGAACACAAGCAGGGGGAGTGGGAGAGGGAGGAGCAGGCTTCCCGCAGAGCAGGGAGCCCGATGCGGGGCTCGATGCCAGGACCCTGGGATCCTGACCTGAGCCCAAGGCAGACGCTCAACGACTGAGCCACCCAGGTGCCCCAAAAGGGATTTGTTTTTTAAAGAGACTTTAGTCTGTTCAATTTGAGCTTATTAAACAGCACTAGACTTGTAAAGATGTAGTTGAACTTAAACTTTAATTAAACTCGGTCTTCACATTTGTTACTTTTTCAACTACCATTAATTTTTAACCAAGAAGCTATAAATAGTTCTGTCTATGCCCATAAACTCACACTGATTCTTATTCGAGTGGAGGGTAAGCATGTGATCAGTGAGACTTTCAAAAGCATTTTGTGAATGTCTGGTGTGTGTTACTTAAAAAAAATTTTTTTTATTAACAGATAATGTATTATTTGTTTCAGGGGTACAGGTCTGTGATTCATCAGTCTTACACAATTCACGGCGCTCACCATAGCCCATACCCTCCCCAATGCCCATCACCCAGCCACCCCATCCCTCCCACCCCCCTCCACTCCAGTAACCCTCCGTTTGTTTCCCGAGATTAAGAGTCTCTTACGGTTTGTGTGTGTTATTAATTCATTTAGCCCCAGCGCTGTGCTGGGTACGATGACACAACCCCAAATCAGACTACAGTCTAGATGCAGGAAAGTGTTATGGGAGGTGAGATTTACTCAGTCGGAGGAGGCGTTAGGGATGAGCTGGTCATAAGGAGCCATAGGTGCTTCCCAGACAGAGGCAGGGGAAGAATATTCTAGGTAGATAGAGCAGCCTGAGCAAAGAATGCATGGGATATTTAGTGAGTGTTGAGCTTTTGTGTTCCTGGTGGAAATTAAAAAAAAAAAAAAATCTGATTACTCCAATGTGTCTTTTATGTCTTTTTCTGATGGAGAGTTAGTGGCAGGATCAGGGTACATTCCAGAGTAAATGTATTAATTCAGCTACCATGTCGGTCACCGGAGCACATCACACCTAACTAGAGATGCAGAGCAATGTTGCTTGGGGAATCATGATTGTTAACATTTATGGAACATGTGTGGTGTGCCTGGTTCCATGCCTTTTTACTCACATTAGTTCGCTTAGCCCTCACAACCATAAGTAATGGATTTATTATCACCATTTTGGAGTCTAGGAGATTGAGACCTCGCGGAATTAAGGGGACAAAGGTCACAGCGTAGTAAGTGGCAGGACCACGATCTGAACCTTGCTCAAGCCATTCCCTCTTTCTGGAATGCTCAAGACCTCACTTTTCTGCAGCAGGCTCTTTCTTACATTTTGGGTCTCAGCCTCACTATCTTTTGTTGGAGAGACCCACTGCTCAGCCTGTCATCAGCAGGTTCCCTTGTTACTCTGCATCCCAGACCCTTGTTTATTCTTACCATAGCACTTATTATGAATTAAATGTTTTCCTACTTGCTTTGTTTGTCTTTGTTTTTCCTACTAGAATCTAAATTCCATAGAGGCAGGCATTCTGTCTTGTTCACTATCCTATTCCCAGCGCCTTGCACAGTGTATAATAGCTGTTCAGTAAATGTCTGTTGATGAATAAATTGATACTGATTTCACAGCTCATTGTTCCCTAATCATTCTAGTATACATACAGTAAGTGGAACTGTCCCATTTGAGCATAGTGCTGTGTTATTGACTGAGTTTGGCACTCAGCAGCCAGCTTATTTTTCTACATGTTCCTAGAAATTTTATTAACAATGATAAGTTTCTGGGACAAGGAATCTAAGCCTCACGAGGCAAAAGATAAACATACTCAGTATGCTAAAAAGCCAACTTGAATTGGCACACACCAAAAATGCACCCGGGTGTTGTTGGAAAAACATTTATTGCAATTCAGTGTCAAAAAATTTTTACAAAAATATGCCACCGTCTGGTACAAACAACTATAAAAAATCAATTCATCATGCAAGGAAAGTGTGCAAATAATTTATACAGAAGGACTTAGCTCACACAGTATTAAATAAACATCTTTGCATGTAATGAGACTAACCTTGTACTTTTAGTTACATGTTCAATCCCCTATAGCATTTTTTATTAAAAGGAGTAAAGCTTCCAAACTTAGGACATGGACTTTAATATACACCCCCTCTAGCCAGGGTTATTGGCACTTGGTAGAATAAAGATGGTGCCAAGAGCTCTCAAGCGTAGAGCAATCCTTGGAGCCTTCTGTTTAACAGACTTGTGCGTCGTTAATTAAACAAACATTGCTGTACTCAAAGACAGAAAAACTCCAGAAGTAATGTAGCAGATGGAGTTTTAAGAAGTTCAGAGATTTGGAGCAGCCATCCATTTTTGGACAAATGGAGCAGGGCCTGAATTTTGGGAGATTTCTCAGGAAGCTCTGTTTGCTGAGTTCAGGGACACTTTGAAAAATGTCCAGCAGACAAAGTCACAAATATCTGTGGTCCCTTGCTCCTTGCTGCCTATATTTATATTATTATAAAATAATCCATCTTTGCTTAGTGAAGATGACGTTTAGCAGAGAGTGGGAGGATTCTCTCCCCCCACCTCCCCCCGCCCCCTTCGGGATAGAAACTCACCAGACCTTATGGCAGGTGCTGGAGGGTGGGGAGATGAAGGGTATGGATTAAATGTACTTCTTCCTCTGAGAGGAAATACCTGCTTGGTTACCATCAGAACCTCGGTTTCTAGAAAGCAAGCTGGCTGCTCAGCCATTATCTAGACCACTTTTGTAATTAAAATTTAAGTACTGAGGGAAAAGTGAGTTTGTCAAAATGCGCTGCTTGCTCTCTGGTGAGCAGGTTGTACTCATAGAATGCTATACTCTCACAACAGGGTCAGAGGTTCGTAAAAATGTTAAGTGGCTCCGGGGAGAAATGTTAACTTCTCCGGAGAACCGGGGACTTAAAATATTTGGAAATGATAATGCCTGGATGCCTAACACTGGACCTTCATGCTTGCCTTCCACAGTGAAGGTGTTGAGAACGGTCGGGTCAGGTGTCACGTGTCTCCAGACAATACGGACAGATGCTGGGTAGGGGGCACAGAGTCAAGGCCTCAGAAAGTCCCGGGTTCATACTCAGGTCTACCACTGAGGACCAGATGGGCTCAGACATGTCCCCTGAATATTCTGGACCCCCCACCTCATGTTGAAAGGCAGAAGGAATGCCAGACCCCACCATATTCAACTTCCCTTCCAGCACCAAAGTCTGGGATGGGAGTTTCCTTCCTTCGGGAAACCACGAGGGTTCACTCTCTTTAACAAACAGAGAAGAAAGCATCTAAAGAAAATGTGGAGTTTAAAGGAATTATGATCTTGTTTACTGAAGACATCAGAGCCCAAGATATATCAAAGAGCCATGTCTTTGCATTTGTCTAGAGGTTCGGGGTGTTTCTGAAGTCTGTTTAAACACTAATAGGATTTTAGGCCAGGATCCAGTCAGAAGGATGGTTCACAGACTCAGATAGTTGGAAATAGATTAAAAAAAAAAAAAAAAAAAAACAACAAAAAACACCCAGATGTCCACATAGAAAATGTTGATATAGTTTAGTTAAAAAAAAATTCACACATAAAATTACAGTTAAAAAAATTCACACACATAAAATAGAGTGCATAGCAAAACATTATTGCCCTATAGCCTGGCAGAAAACTATAAACGCAGGTGCGTATTTTATGATAAACATTGTATTCAATGCTACAAACGATATACAGTTGAACATATCTTGAAATGATTGACCTTGCAAATCACACCACTTGCTTAGACAAATGAAATTCTAAGCTCCCTCTCTTCTCCCACATAGAAACAACAGAAAAAAGGAGCCTGTGTTAAATTGTAAGCTCCTCATGAAAAACACTTTTCGAATCCACAGAGAATCATGACAATAACACCATACCTGCTTGTGACCTTCCTTCACCATCACCCAGTAAAGCCCACTGTTGTATTGAGTGTTTTGCAGTATCAACCCAGCCCACCTCCAATTATCTCCTCTAGGCCACTTCAGTATAAAATTGATCATCACTAAACAAATGTCATCTCACGGCTGACACCCTGGGGATGTTTTTTGTGGTTTTGCCAGTCGCCCTCCGATGCTACTGATCCATCTACTCAAAGTAATAGCATCAAGTAATCATGCCCTCTACTTGAAGATGTCATTGGACTTTCCTCTGGATCTTGCTGTGAGGTAAGCACTCACATAGTCTTTCCCCAAATGTTGTGCCTTACTCTCAAGAGACTCCGGGCTCGTTGCTCATACACCTTTACGTTGGACCAGATCATACCTAACATCCCTGTGGACTTGTGCTCACTCACACTGCCCTGGGCGCCCTCCTTCCTTCTCTGGAAGTCCAAATTACTTCCTAGTTGACAGGGCGTTAAATTCTATGTTACGGGGGCAGGGGTGGTTAGGTAGGTACAGCAATGAGAGGGGAGCCTTTTATCTCTTCCAGCACTTTCCATTGTCCTGTCTCCCTGGCTTTTAGACCAGCAGTTTTGAGACAGGGATCCTTTGTTTTTGTTTTTTAGGTTAGGCTGTCCCTAGAGGGTTTGCCAATAGAAATTCTAAAGACGATTAGTACCCAGGGAACGAGAATTTTCTTTTTCACTGGCTTTACTTATATGTGAGGCTCTGGCCATGCTTAATAGCTGCCACGTGGCACCAACACAGATGCTCTCACCCGCCATGTTCTTCTCCATTGCCTTCACACAAACCACAGCATCAAAGATAGGCCATTTCTATTTCTTCCCCCATCCCTCTCCACCTGCCATTTCCTTTCTTTGTCTCCTCTTCCAATGAAAGAGAACCACAAATGTTGGTTTCTTCTTTTTCCTTAAAAATTTTCCTCAAAAATTTTCCTCGACTCTGTCACCACATCACCTCCAAAAATGCCAACAGAGATGGGGAGAGCCCAGAGGCACCATCAAGGGAAACAACTCAGAAAACCATCACCCTACCACTTGTGGTAGGAGTCATCTTGCACAGATGCGCCTCGCTGCCTGGGGTCTGATAGGCAGTCGCAGGCACTGTGGATAGTCCAAAGGAGACTGGTTTGCCAACTTTGTGCTGATGACCTAAAGCAGGCAACATTTCTGGGACTGCACACCCGAGGGTGCCTGGGAGTTCCCACCTTCCTGATCGGCATGAAGAGGCAGAGGTCACGAGTTGATGGACAGATGTGGAAGGCCACGAACACCTACACCTAAAAACGTCAGAGTCAAAGGTTCCAGAGATCTCAAGAGTAACAATCAACCCAGCTCCGCCCCACATCTTTCAGGAAGCGGAGACATTTAAGAGAAGTTGTCTGAATTCTGGAAGCGCTTGTTTTTTATTCCACCATCTAGGTCCTGCATTCCTCAGTGTGACTTTGACTCAGGGGGGAGCGGAGAGCAAAAAAACCCATTTGGTATTACAGGGGCTCCGGAAGCTCAACCTTACCCAACAAGATCTTATTCTTTAATGTTTAATTCTTCTCAGTGGGGAGAATTTAAATGCAATTTGCTTTTTCTTCTGATGGGCGTGGGGGTAGTGAAAATAAACATGGAGACACCCTGGTGCGTAGGCCCAGTGAGGAGGGTTGATGGAGAGTTGACTTCTCTTCAGCATGCTGATACGGGGGGGCTGTGCACTGAGGGGAGGGCAGGAAGGGGCTCTGCATCACTGGCTGGCACCTGGCCTTGTTTCTGTACATGCTTACCCACCTTTCCCCTCCACAGGTCACCCCAAGGTTCAACCCCTAAGGATACACTGTTCTCCACTGTGAATGTGAGCAAGTTCCTATTTCTGCTTCACTTATTTGCCAAGGGCATGGCAGGGTGGCAACTTTATTTGCAAAAGAAGAAAAAAAGCACAAAGCAAATACAACTGCCAAAATATGTACATTGTTGTAGAAAAGCAAAGTTCTATAAAAAGTAAAAAACAAAAACATCCCCTACCCCATCCCAGGAATATTTGACAATGACCTCATTAAGTCCTGAGATTTCCTTTCTTCCACACAGTTACCTGTGATATTTGCCTAGCAAGATCCCCAGGGGTATGGAGCAAGTTTAGGGATGAACTCACAGTACTTCTGTTCCCTATGTGATTGGAACTCCAGGCTTTATCTCGTCATCCTCGCAAGAAATCCTCGCTTAGGCTGAGTAAATTTTGATGTTGGACATAAAGAAAAGAAAGCTCCTCAGCCCATCACCTGCCATGAGGGACAGCCCCTAGTAAAACGTTTAACTGATACGTAAAACCTGTTTTACAAGACTTTATCAGCACTCTGGCTTCGACCAGTCCACAGATTACGCTTATCTGTGAAGATATTCTGGGAAGCCCAGACAAGCCGAGAAGTTAAACAGGAATAAGAAAGTCTTCACAGCTTTTGGGTGACTCATTCCATCTTTTCTGTGGTAGGACTTCCTCTGGGACTGTTTTTAATAGGCCTTACGTTGCCCCAGATGAGCTATATCACAGCTATAACATGAAAGGGGAAAAAAAAGGCATATGTGCTGTGGAGTTATTCTAGAAAAGAGGCCACTCCGAAGAGTGCCTATTCATCTAAAAAGGAAGTCTGCAACATGATGAGGATTGCCTCCAGGATCCCTTCCTATTGAAACCACTTTCATGTGACGAAAAACCAAGAAAAACAGACACTGCCTACTGGACAATGCACTTTGGCGGAGGGAGCACTGCATACTTTCCGAGGTAGACTATTGTGTGATATATTTGCAAGATAAGGCCCTATGCCCTCGTGGGTTTAAGAAGGGTGGTGCTTCCTTTGCCTTTTTAAAACAACCCCCCCTCCCCCCAATCAAAACCAAAGCGCAGGGATTTCGCATTATGTTGTCGTCTTCTCTTTCTTTAAGCAAATTTCCACATTGTAAACAGAGTGTTCTATCTTGTATTCGACTTCTGCCCTTTTCTTCCACATCCCTAGGGAACTACCAAGGAGTCTCAGTGAACATGAGGAGAATTCCATTTTCACCGATGAAACTGAATTCCTGCCCTTACAGTCTTGCCGGCAAATAGTTAGAAAAAAGTTTATTTACAGTATTTCCGTTTTTCCATACCAGTTCTAATGAGAAGTCCGTATTCTTCAGCTCCCTGCCGGCACCTGCATCTCCCCTTCCAATGTCCCCTCAGTGACTTAGCTCAGAAATTTTGAGCCAACGTTTCAAATGTACACTATTTACAAATGAACTGTCCAAGCTCTGTATTCCCAGCCGTCTGATCAGCTGGGGAGCCCTTCAGAAGTGTTGTCCTGTGCTGGGATTCAGAACTTGAACAAGTTGATAAAGTCCTGGGGTGAAAGGGAAACGGAGCAGCCCTCTGGGTTATTGGCTGTGCACGGGTGGTCAGTGCCCTGGAAAGGAACATCATGGTTTTAGGTTTGAGTTCTCAGAAGCATCTCGTTGGCTGGGCCCAACCTCAAAACAACATTCCTCTGTCAAGAATGCCGTAAGTTCTGCAAAAACTAAAGAGCTGTGTGTGTGTGTGTGCATGCGCACCCATACCCAAAGAGAATGGGAGAATTTGCAGGTGGGTAGGATGTACCACAAAAAAAAAAAAAAAATATATATATATATATACACACACACACACACACACACACACACACACACACACACACACACACACACACACACACAAATAGGAGTGGAGGAAATTAAGGACTCTCAAAGTTTTTCTCCCCAGGGACTGAATCAGTGTCTCCTACACCTTCCTTCAGCTGCAGTAGGGAAGTGCAGGAAAGAAGTAGGAAGGGCTTTCGCATGGCAATGCTGGTGCCTTTAGCTCTTAGGGGCTGGGCTAGGGGTTCTGTGGCAGCCACCTCGAGACACATACCTTCCAGGAAAGAATGTGACAGTGTCTGCAAAGCTGAAGGGTGTCTCCGTACTGCTCTTTCCGTGGGTAACATCGCACAAGTTTAAAATACATCTTCTTCCAATCCAGCTGTCCTTTGTCGGACAAAATTAATCGCTTGCGGATCTGAATTGCAAACGAATAGAAATAACTGCAAAGGACTGCAGGAGGGTTCGTCAAGAAGATAGTTTGTGGTTTTGTGCTTCTGAAAAGTTCTGTTCCCACCCTCTCCTTCCCCCTTGTTCATCTGTGCCCTGCACTTACCAGGGAAAAAACTGCCAAGAGAGAAAGAAGGTCCTTCTGAGCTCTACCCAGTGAAACGGTAGCTTTTACCCGTCTTTAAAAGAAACAGGGGGGCTGGTGACATCTTACTAGTGACCTCTACTAAATTGTATTTGGATGGTCCTTTAAAGTTTAGGTGATTTCAATAAACACCTTCAATCTTTTCTTTGCTGTAGACTTGAGTGATTATTTCCAGGGAGATGCAGTCCCTGCTTGGCACGGTGGCTCTATTTTAGATCTGAATATTAGTGGCTTCGTGAACAGAACTTGTTGAACTCACACATCTATATAAAGAGGGTGGAAAAAAACGTCTGGGGCAGCACGAGGGGAAACAGGCCTAGAGCTGGTGTCTGAAGCCCCCAGTTCAGATTCATATTCAAGGCCAGTTTCCTTCCCGTGAGAGCCATTTCCCTAGTTTGTGGACTGAATCCCCGCATCTGTTTAAAGTGAGCATCAAGATACCTACCCCACCCTGGGTGGTTAGACTAAAATGAAACATACCTATAAAAGTTCTTACCTGTAAACTATAAAGATAAGTTGCTTTTGTAAGTTACTCTGTCATAGCAGAGGAGGCCAGGTGTTGCTTTATGAACTTTTTAAAGCAAGTTGTGAAGTGTGCATATAGGTTAAGAATGTAAGTTGTTTTTTCCATTAGAATCACAGGCATTATTTAGAAACTCCTCGTATTGTTGCTCTCTAGTCAGCCGGGAGGCCCCATGGAGGGTGGGCTCCCATGCCTCGAGCTCAGGAAGAAGGCCAAGGAAGTTTGAGGCTGGGGGACAGAGAAGGGAGAGGAGGGACTGCCCGTGAGGGGCCCCCTGACCTGCCGCTCGGAGAAATGGTATTGGCAGAGCTTCTTCCAAAGCAGCCGGTCCTCGCTGAGCACGTGCAGGTCGGGGGCCACCTGGCCGAGGCTGACCAGGTCACGCCCGTCACTCAGCCTTTGCATGATGTTCAGTTGGAGGCACAAAGGCAGGTCGGTGAAGGTGAGGCCTTTGGAGGCAGGCTGTGGGGAGAAGGAGGACGTTAAGTTGCAGGTTGTGGGGGGTGGGCCGCAGATCAGCGGGTGACACTCTCCGAGGATGCAGCTGTCCCCTTGTTCTCCACCCTCAAGCTGGTTGACTGATCCCAGACCCAAAGCTGCAATTCTCCCCACCCTGAGGGCAGAAACAGGACCCGCGGCTGAGGCCCACAGGAACAGCCTGGAACAGCTCCAGCTGAATGGTGCCAGAGGGATTTTCCTAAGTTTCACAAAGCTTTATACTTTTAACGGTTCTCCAAACAGCACATGTTGGATTCCTCTGCTCCACTCAGTTCAGTGACCAGATTCGCTACCTTCCGAAAGGGCCCCATGCCTTGAAAAAACCCCCCCGACTGCCACCTGTGCAGGCTTTCCCATCACCCCTCCTGGCCATGGATCCCTCCAGGCGGGTTTTCTTGCCTGGGCCCCCGCTGTCCCCTCACCGCTCTGCCTCTCCAAATGATGCTCTTCAGATCCAGCTTATACCCATTTTCCCTGAAAGGGAATTTCTTTTCTGTTTTGTGGGTACCCCAGGCACCTTCCTGGAACTCTGTGAGCTCTTCTGGGGACTTTTTGAACCAGCCCCTTTTTGTTATGTAAGGCAAACTGTTTCCAAAAGGAAGCTTGAATGGAACATTCCTGCTGGAACGTAAGCTCCATCGAGGCAGCACTTTTTGTCTTTTTTCATTGCTGTGTGCTTTTTTCATAGAAGAGTGCTTAGCATATAGTAGGTACCCAAAAAATACCCGAGGGATGACTGAAACCCTCATAATTAAGTAGGTAAAAAACAACAACAAAAAGACCCTGTGCTTGTTGTGTATATTTGTGTGTGTGTGCGCGCGCGCATGTGTCCTTTAGGAATGGCTGGTCCAGAAACTTTTGGCCTAAGTGCCCCCATCCATTAGAACATCTCTATTCAAACCTAGGGCTCCATGGAATATTTAAAAAAAGTTATTTGTGGATAATACACTGACAGTTAATCAGGAGCTGTTTCTGCTATAACCCTCAACTTGTATTTAATTGTTTAATTTTATATTTATTATTTAAATTTTGATGGGCTCATGTTATCCCACCCACACCTAGATCCTTGAAGGTGGGGTCTAATTTCATATCCCTTGCAGACGAGCCCAGCACAAACAACCTCTTTTGAGGGCCTACTATGGCCTGGCACGGGGGCTGGAACGGGTTCATTAGGCTCGCAAGAGACTCAGAAACATAAGCAAATAATTATAGAACAATATGTTAAGTGCTATCAAGGAAGTAAGCACAGAGTGCTCTGGGAACCATCTGTACAGAGAAGGCCCTCACTAGTATTTACTGATAGCTCCTCAACAGCAATTGATGCTGCCATTTGGGTAAGAAGTGAGCACAAATCACCTGCGACTGGGGTTCTTTGTTCTCATGCTAGATCTGGGTGAGCTCTTGATTTTGGACTACTGCCATTTTTAGCTTGGTGCTCTGTCACCTCTGGGGGTCACAGGAAAAAATATAGGATGAAGAAGCCCTTCCTTAGCTCAGGGGAAAATATCCTGTCAATGGATATCCTCAAATTTTTAGGGAACTACTCTGTTCAAGGCACATCAGAGCCCACACGCACAGGATTCCAGGGGGGATGCGTGGTTTCACCAGTCCCCACCTGTGTCCCCTGCAGAGCAGGTCAGATGTATGGAGGGAAGTTGGGAAGAGGCATGGGGCCTCGGGAAGCCGGACTGTGGAGAAGAATGGGAGGTGGCATGGGAGGAACACGGGATGGACAAGCAGTAGATCTGGATCCCAGGTGCCCTTGGGAACTCTGGGTCTCAGTTTCCCCATGTCCAAAGTGAATTGGCTTAGAAGACTCTCATGGTCCCTTCCAGCTCTAACAATCTCAGATTTGAATCAGCTTCAGCCTCTTAACTCATCAGAAGTGTCTATGACTTGACAGTTTAAATTGTTCAGGCTGCTGGGCTGAGTTTTCAATTGTTTGCAAAATTCAGGACTTTCGCTGGACCGCTGAGGGCTCTACACTTATTTGTCGTTTATCATCTGCTGCTGATCATATGAGCTAATAAAACTGCCATGAAACTTTCTTTTTGTTTCCAGCACTTCAAAGCATCTACTTTTTTGGTTAAAACTCCCAGGCCAATTATTACATGAACTCCTATTAAAGTCCACTTGGCAGAGTTCACGCTCAAATTTTCAAACCTGAACTTTTCCAAAATCCTTGCCCAGACCCCATGCTGAGCCCTTACTCCTGATAAATGGTTAACTGCTTGCATGCCGCCTTCTTTTTGAATATAAACATATAAAAGAACAATAAGTCAATCAAACATTTGGCTATAATCCTTCTATGGCTACCCTGCCCTCTCTCTGCTTCAAAACACAGCCTTACCCCAAACGCTGCCTTACCCATAGTGATCCTATTTGACTTCTCCCTCTCCAAACCAGTTCTCTTCATTTTTCCCCCTTCATTCTTTATTCTAGTAATTATTTTTGCCAATAAAAATTGGCTCCATAAAATTAGATATGAAATTTTGAAGGAAAACAAGATCATATGCCGGGAAGCTACTGCTAGAACTTTGGCAAATAGAAAGCAATTACTGTAAATGTCACCTTAACATTTTTGTGGAATAACATACTTCTCTTTAGTCCAAACTGTTAAAAAGTAGGCTTTAGTATATGTGCTGCCGAAATATAGTCCAGACTGAAGTAATTAAGTCCCGTTTTTCTCTCTCTCTCTCGATCTTTCTTTCCTCTGGAGAGTTGGGCATTTGTGTGACAAGCTCTTTAGGGCTCCATGGGTTCCCATCACTGCTCTCAAAATAATGTGGCTCAGAGCGAGGAGGGCTGGGAAGGAGGCAGCAGGGAGCAGAGTGCAGTGGGGAGAAGAGCAGCCTCTGCAGACAGGCCTGGGTTCAGTCCCCTGCATCTTACCTGCATCGAGGCACCAGCCACACTATTCTTTTTTTTTTTTTTTTTTTTTTAAGATTTATTTATTTGAGAGAGAGTGAGCGAGCCCAGTGGGGAGGGGCAGAGGGAGAGGAAGAGAGAGAATCTCAAGCAGACTCTGCTGAGCGTGGAGCCCGATGCCGGGCTCGATCCCATGACCCTGAAATCATGACCTGAGCTGAAACTAAGAGTTGGATGCTCAACTGACTGAGCCATGCAGGTGCCCCCAGCCACACAGTTCTTAACGACTCAGCCTGAGTTTTCTCATTTATAAAATGAGGAAAAGCATTTCTTACAGTGTCGTTGGGCAGAGTGGACAAGATGATGCATAGAAGTACTTAGCATAGTGCCCAGTGGAAATCAGCTCTTATAAAGACCTCGCTCATAGTTATTCACTGGATGAGTTAATGAATACACGTGAAAGACTTAGAAGAGTGTCTGCCACAGAGCGAGCCCTTCGTAGTAGTAAGAGCTGACACATTTAAAGACTTACTACATGCCAGGCACTGTCCCAAGCACTTTCTATTATGTTAGCTTATTAAATCTTACGCCAGGGCTAGGAGATAGGCATTATTACCCTTCATTCATCATTCATCTACAATTTATTGACTGCCTCCGCTCTGTGCAAGGCAGAGGGAACAGAGCAGGGGGCAAGATGGTAGGCTTTCTTTGTGGTGCTCATAAGCCAGTGGATGGAGCTGGGGAAGTGGTATCACGTTGGAGATCATTTCAGACGGCACCAACTCCTCTGAGGAAGGCGAGATGAGAGTGTTTTCAGTGGACTGGACGGCCCGGGGAGGCAGGACCAAGCTTGGCATGGGCAGAGAAGGGCTTGGCCTGGCTGGAGTGCCAGGGGCAGAAGGGAGGGTGAGAGGAACTTCAGTGTTTCATCTGTCCTGCACGGGACTGCACTGGATGTAAAGGGTTTGCAAAAAGCTGGATCACTAAATACATAGTTGGAAGAAAGCTGGATTGAAAAGAAGTTTGGAAACCACTGATGTTAAGAAAGCTCTGCCATGTGAGGAATAAGGAGTCCTGGGTTCTGGCCTAAGCTGTTGGGCTTCTCTGGTCCCCACTCCTGTCTCTGAAGGGTTATAGCAGCTACAAGGGCTACCTCCTCCCTGGTGTGTTTGTGGATCAGTTAAGGGGGGGTTCTAGGTAAGCAAGCCCACGGGCGTGTAAAGTACGCGAGCGGCTGTGGCCAGGGAGGCTTCTGGGATGCAGGCAGCAGAGGCAAGATCTGGCCAAGTGTGATCACCTAAATAGTGTTCCAAAGTTGCTGGAGGAAAGAGACCCTTGGGACAAACGGGACTTGCTCATTTAGGTCACTGGCTGGATACTTCTCTCCTGGGCTTGGACCAAAAAAAGAAAGTGTTACGTCCAGGCTACACAGAATACCAGAAATCAGGTAGAAGGTCTAAGTGGGTTTTCTGTGAGAGAGAAGCTGGGAACCTAGGTCTCAAATTCACGTCGTCAAACTATGCCTACACTTCAGAGAAGACAATGGGGTAAATTATTAGAATAAATTCGGTAAATGTTCAGAATACACGCTCTTAAACAACGGAGATAGCTTTTCTGGGCTTGTGCTGTGTGTGTGTGTGTGTGTGTAAGTGTGGGAGTTGTAGCCAAAGTGATTCTAAGGAAGTCACATAATTCTGAAACTTCTCATTATTCCCTTTGTTTCAGAGTTAAAGAAACTAAGAGGCACAGAGAGGTTCTTAACAGCCAAGTCAGGGATGCTGCATTTTGAAAACTTCATATAGTAAAATAAGTATTTAAAAGAGGTCAAAGAGGCTTCTTCATGTTACCTTCTCAAGAGATGGGGCAGACCCAAACTTTATCAGCGTGGGTCCCGGAACCACTTAGAACAGCGCGGTCAGTGATAAGCGAGGCGAGCGCTATGTGAGCCGTCTAAGTGCGCCTGTCCATTAGCGAGCCTCAGGAGAGCACAGGAGTGTCTTTCTCACACTTTTTTGTGTGCCTCAGTCCTCCTGCTCGCTATTAAAAGGACGAGAGCGGAGGGCCAAGTTCGGTTCAAAAAGTCAAAAGACACTACCAGTAGAAGTGTCGCTCTGATACCGGGCCTCTTTGGGTTTTTTTCCACTTTGAGGGAGACTCGCTCTTTTCTTTCCCTGCGTGTATGTTCGCGGTCTCTAACCAAAGGCTTACTTGTCATAATGATTAATCACTGGAACTAGACTTTGCAGAGGTTGGTGCCAACTTTCCAAGCCACTGCCATCAGACCTCTGCTGTATTCAAGGAAGCATTCCTACAGCTGTAAAGGACACGTTCTTCAGGAGGAAGTGGGAAAGACGAGAGATCGCCCCTCAGCCCCCACCCCCAAATCCAAGCTTCCGGTTTGCCTACCATGTTGCAATTCACATACTTTGGTCCTGTTGTGCCAACTTCTTCTTCCCACCCCCTTTTCTGGGAATTTCCAGCCCACTCTCAGCGCCCAGGAGAGAGCATCCAAATCGGGACAGTCCAGGCTCTTTGACCAGCAGAGAAGATTTAAAAAGTCCTGGGGAGGCCGCCCAGCCTCTCGGTGGAGGCACCGAACAGAGTCTTTACTGCTAGGAGGAGGCCGGGGCGTTCCCGCTTACCCTGGTAATTTGGATATTGTTCAGCTGCTGTTGCCAGTGTAGAATCGTCTCCATTCGGTACACCCACATGTTGATGTTCCCGACCAGCACCGACTTGCCGACTCTTTGCACCAGTGTGCATAAGGACGTGTAGAGAGTCTGCAGCAGTTCCCTGATTAGCCTGATGTTCTGCTGGTCTTCAAGGACTTGAAGTGGGGGAGAGAAAAAGCATGAGCAGTTATGATACAGGGACACGGTATATTTTGTACTCGGGCCTTTCTTTTTCTTCTCCGTTCTGCTCCTGTCATGTGGGTAACTGCCTCTGGGGATGTGGTTTTCTTTCTCCCTCTTATTTATTCGACACCTGGCCAAGCTTCTACACTTGAGGTGACGGGGGAGAGTTTCCATTATCTAGGTCCCTCTTTGTTCTCTTCTCCCTAGTTTCTGGCAAAGACTCTTTCTCTCTTCATTGTTTCACCAGCACCGATTGGCTCACTCGACCTGAAGGCAGTTTCTTTGGCCCAGCAGTGATGTCCTGTGTAGGTGGTCAGTAGTTAGGAACATGAGTTGTGATCCTGTCTGCCTGAGTCTTTGTGGGATTACGGATAAACTACTCTTCCTTAGGGGCCTCAGTTTCCCTGCATGCACAAGGACTCAGATGAGCCAAAGACCTAAAGTTCCTTTTAGATCAAATAGTCTGTGAATTTATTCTGCCTTGTACATAGCTCAATTTTCTAGGAATCTGGAATCCGGAGGTTTGGTAGCCAAGCTTGGGGCACGTGAGCACACTGGGAAGTGTGAGAGGTGTGCAGCAGGGCAAATGGATGCTCCTGATAAAAGGATGGGAGGGTGACGGTCTCTGCCCTTCGTCCTGAACATGAGTGGCCCTCCTTTCTGAACTGGCATTTGGCACCCCTGAAACGCATCTGGAGTTATTCATGTCCATCCATGTCTCAGGACGTGTCTGCTCTATTGGAAAATCCATCTGTCCATCCCCATCTCTATGAAAAAGGGAGAGAGGTGGGGCGGGGTGGGGGGTACCGCTCACCTTTCAGTACCACTTTCTCCAAAATGTTCATGAAGTTCTTTTGGGCGATGCCACTCAGGGACGTGAGCTGTGACTTTGCTATCAGTTCCAACAGCTGTGGGTAAAAATAGAAGTTGCCAGGCTTAGAACACAGAGACATTTTTCTCCTCTAATCTTCGCTTTTGAGTCACATGATGCAGAGATACGGACCAACGGGGAGAGACAGAAGGCAGGCGGGCCCACAGTGGAATAAAAAGCAGATGCTCACAGTGGAAGACAAATGGAGGTAATTCAAAACCCAGGAATCAGGCTGAATATTTAATTGCCTTTTTTCTTTTGAATATAAAGAGTTTGGCTTCAGCCAGGGTGAATTCATTCTGCTTGTCCTACTTCAGCAAGTGAAGCCGAGGGACTCTGAAGGGAACAAAGCCGCCTATGACCTGCAAATGTTTGAGTTCTACACAGTCACTTCCAGCGGGAATCTGTCTACCCCTACTTGAACTTCTTCCCCACTGGTACCAACTGTTCTCAAGGCACATTATAGCTCATGGTCAGCAAGATGAGTACTTTCCAAGGAAGGGGCAAGTCTTATCCAGAAATCTCCTGCTCATGCAGTGTTCGGTAAAAATGTCTGTTAATTAGAATCTCCCATTGCACTTAATCTTCCTGTAGAAAGAGGCCAGTCCCAGGGAGAGAGGAATTCAGGGTTGTATAGTATATATATACGTATTTTTACTTAGAGACTAGGATCCTCTGTGACTATGGGCAAGTTACTAAATTTCTTGGTGCCCCCATTTCTTCATCTGTACTAATAACACTCAGAGTCCCCAAGACTGTTGAGAGCTTTGAATGAGGGAATGCCCGTCCATGAGGCACAGTGCCTGGCACTGATCACGTGGAAAATCAAGGTTGGTTGGTTGGTTGAAGGCATGTGTCCTAACCCCACTACCCCATTTATCGCCAAACAAGAAGAAACGTAATAATTTAACTTGGTGCATCCTTAGTCTGCTTTTTCTTTGGTAGCAAAATTCTTTACAGATGTGGCAATATTAAAAAAAAAAACTATTAAAAATTCTACTGTTGAAAAATGAAACATCAGACTGGAAGGGCAGCTTCGAGATCAGGTAGATCAACCCACTTAGCAGATGAGCAAAGTGAGGCTCAAGAGGCTAAGTCTCACCAACTTCAAGCAGTGGGAGGACTCAGCAGAGACCTCCTCAATACACTCAATGCTTTCACAAAGTCACCAAACAAAAGAGGTTGATGTAAAGTGAAAATAGTTTTACCAGAGCCTAGCAGGCCCCCCGCTAAAACTAGCTAGCCTAAGACTTAGAACCAAGACCCCTCCTTTACATTAGAGCTTGAATTTCTGCCCCTAGAAGACTTTTCAAGGGAGTTTCATCTGCTGGCCAGGCCCCGGCCCAACTTCACTTCAGGTCGGTAGACACCGAGTGTGACACTGTGCTCGGGCACTGGAATCAAGGCTGAGAGAACTAGCAAAGTGACATTCCAAACACTGGGCTGCAGAGGAGAACTGAAACTTTGGGATCAAGGCCCTAAGCAATTCCAAGGCATTTGTTTAAAACTTCTGTCCTCCTGGAGCCCTGTAGGAGCCTGTCAAACCACATACAGACTTTTAATTTCCTGAACATAATTTTACCCTAAGTAAAATTTTACTCTAAGTAAAAATAAAACAAAACAAAACAAAACCCCACCAAAACCCCAAAACAAATAAAACACCCCGAAACCTCTCCCTGCCTGGCCTATGTGTCTCTCACACACGCAGGGAGAAGGAGGTGAAGAAAGGCTGAGGCTGGTTTGTTAAGATTAGTACTGGTGGTCCAGCGTTGGAAGTCAGGAGCTGACCTAGTGCCCACAGAGAGAGGCAAGAAGTTTGTCCATCCGTACAGGCTACATCCACGGGTGGGCGGTGACCACACTGGATGACCTCTGCTTGTCTGGTTCAGCTCTGTCACCAACCAGCACGTGACAGTCAAAAGAGGAGTGACAAATGGCGGGGACTGGCCAGACCTTTCGTTTATCTCCCTGACCAACAACAACCAGATTCAGAAGGCCAACCCGATGGTCTATTAATACCCTGTGCCTCACATGACCAGCATGAAGCAAGATGAAAGAAAACAAAAGCCTTGAGTCCCTCTCGGAAGGGCAGTTGGCTGTGCATTGTGACTCATCATGGGGTGGGAGGAGGGCAGGCAGCGCTCTGCCTGAAATCCATCCAAAACCCAGATTCCATGTGACTACCATCGCTTGAAGGCGTCAGTGTTAATCTTGTCTAAAAATGCACCAATCACAAGGAGAGGAAAACTCTCCAGGCTATGACTATGCATTTGAGGGAAAACAAAAAGCCCTTTGGTCTGACTGAGATGGTGTTTGACTAAGCAGGAGGAGGAATGCAGCAGCCAAAATTTCTCAGCTGACAGCAGAAGGACATGTCAAGCACCCTATGTTCAGCCCCATCTCAAGAGAAAGTCCCTCCTTCCACCGCCAGGGAGTTGTGGGGTCAGGAGAAAAAACCCTAGGGAATAGGAGACCCAGCTTCTCTAGCCGGGTGACCTTTACCACTCTCTTCCATTGGCAAGTATTTTCTGAGTGCCCGTGCTGACCTAACACTGTGGTAGGTGATGTGCATATGACAATGAAGACACACGATGCCTAGACTTAAGGAGTTTATGGTCTAGTCTGTGGTGTAAGTCTGCTAACCTCTCAAAACCCCAGGTTCTTCATTTCTAAAATGGAAATACAAAGACTACCTACTTCACAGGGTTGTTAGGAGAATTAAAGAGATAAATATGTGAAAAGTCACTCTAAATACCAAATACAAGGTATTATTTCATCTCTTCCAGACCCCAATCTTTTAGTGAAGTTTACAGCTGATATCAAGATTTAGCAAACTTTCTGTGAAGGGCCAGACAGTAAATATTTTGGGCTTTGTGGGCCATATGCTCTTTGTCACAACTACTCAACTACTTAACTCAGCAGTTGTCATACAATATGTAAATGAGTAGATGTGGCTGTGTTCCAATAAAACTTTATTTACAAAAACAGGTGGGGGGCCAGACTTGGTCCTTGGGCCATAGTTTACCAACTTCTGATCTATATCTCTGATATATATAAATGTAATATATGTCACAGATATATCATAAAGTTTAAGAAATGTGTGTGTGTTGTGTGTGTAGAGTTTAAGAGGGTTTCAGAACCAAACTTCCTGCTTCAGTTTCCCCATCTGTAAAATGTGAATAATAGTATCCACTTCAGAGTTGCAATGAAGATTGACTGTGTTCATAAAGCATTCACAACAGTGTCTGGTATAAAGAATATACTCAAATTATTAGTTTTTATCATAATACAGAGACTATTACTAGGTAATATTACTGCGAGGGAGGGGATAGTGAACTACTAAAGTAGAGCTGGCTTAAAGATCTTTAGAACCCCTGCATTTCAATTTTATTCATTGTCAACCAAATATTTAAATGGTTTCAAATTTTAATATTCCTGTCATTTTTATTATGTTTGTGATCCATTTAATGGCTCCCTATCTGTTGATGAGAGTTAATGTTGATACATTTTATATCTTACATAGCTGCATCTACCGTGAGGTCTTATTTTGCTAACAATACGGGGGGTTACTACATACCAGGGACTGCACTAAGCACTTTACCTGTACGATCTGATCTTGTTTAGTCTTCCATGGTGAGCCGATGAGTTGGGTTCTCCATTTGATAAAAGAGGACAGTGTGGCTCAACAAAATTAAGTAACTCAAGTCATACCAGCAATAGTAAGTGGTGGAGCCAAGGCTTGTGCCCATTTGTGTCTTAACAGAGAACATGTATTTTGATCACTTAAGGACTTCAGCTTTTCAGGGTCAGGTAAATTTACACCTAGGGCCAAACTTTAAAACTAGTAGCAATATCATGTATTGCTATGTTCTAGAAGACAGAGTCTAGAAATTCTCTATCAAGATGACATTGTGACAGGTGATCAGCTTTTACCGGGAAGGGAGAAATCATCCCCAGAAAGTGTTAATAACACGACTGGGATGGGGCAGTTGCTTTCGGTAAACCATTTAGGTCTCCTTTCCACACCCGCAGAACTCCGCGGGCCCCAGTGGGTAGGCAGTATTATGTGCAACTGGTGGTAAAGGGGTCAGAATTGGTTCCTTTTACTTCTGTGTTAAGAGAGCTGTGTGCCTAGGGGAGCAGGACTCCAGCTAGCCGTTTATTTACCAAGAGGATTTAGCCAGCTGGATTCTTTGCCCCCAGCCACAAGAGAGCAGAGGAAAATGTCTTGTTGGGAAATAGCTGTTTCTTTTCGGCTGGGCAGATTTGAGCCCAGGTGCTAGGAATTTGCAGCCGTGTTTAAGGGGGAGCGGGACGGTCAAGAGGAGCACGAGGGCTCTCAGGCTCCTCCCGAATTCCACGGCATCACTGCCGCGTGGGCAGTCTGGGTATCCGGCACGATTTGCAGTGACTCGCTGTGCAGTCACAGGAATGGCTCTGGGCTACCAGAGGAAGGGATGGTGGTCACTGCATGTGGAAACCACATCCTGCCCTTCAGCTTTGGCTCATGCCGGTATTAGAGATGTTGAACAGGAGAAAAATCGAGTGTTAATCTTGCAATCTAAGCAATATCGCAGAGCAAACCTTAGAGCGGATACCACCACAGTTTGAAGTGGTGTGTGGACCATGACTAGGCAGAGGGGAGATTTCCCTTCTCTCTCAATTTGCCGCAGAAAGAGCAGGTGTCTTCTCTTCTCTCCCCTTCAGTTCATCAGAGCATTCATACTTTACAAAACACAGGAGCTCGGGTCACCGCTCTGCTGGAAACCCTCAAGCGGCTTCCCTTTGCACTTCGAGAAGAGACTAAACTCCTTTCCGTGGCCGGGGCAACGTCCTCCCTGATCTGGCCTATGCCCCATCTCCAGCATCACTTTGCACTGCACTTCCCCGACTCATTCTGCTCTAGCCGCACAGCCCGTCCTGGGTTTCCTGCATGGGGCCAGCTCAGGCCCGCCCCCCAGCCTCTGCCCCTGTCACGTCTCCCCATCTCCCCGAGCTGGCTCCAACCCACCCTTCGGGCCCCAGTTTGGAGGTCAC